ATGTTAGCTATATATTGAAACCATTGCTGATAAAACAAGTGTACACTATGGTGCCATTCCTCAGTTAAATTCTGATAAAAGTTCATTTTAAACATGACAAAACGTTTCCTTGAAACGGCCATTTTGACTCGGGTAAAACAAAGAAGTATATGACACTCATCACCTCATAAAACTTTTATAGAAGGCATTTCTTTTCTTTATAGGCCTGATTTTTGTAAAGCTTACAGTATTTATACGTACTCATAGAATTGTCTCCAATGAAGGGTTGAAATCTTCCCAATCAAGTATTTTCTTATTAATCTGTTATTGTGTCCAAACCCCAATGAGAGATTTTTGACATATCAAAAGCTTGCAGTCATTTGTGATAACCTGAAATACAGCTTGTTCCAGCAGTACATATTCCCACACAATTAGACAATTTTAAAAGATTTGCATTCATATAATTTTCAGTAATATCAAAAAGATCCATGGCTTTACACATCCCTAATTTCATTCCAGAAAAACACATTCTCATTTATTTCACTCTCAACCAACAGATCTAACGTGTTATTAAATAAGTATCCTTAACACTATCCATCATCTCTATCTAAATGACAAATTGTTTTTTTAGCTTTTCAATTAGTCATTTAGATCTCTGTTTTATCTGTGATGTTGCATAAAATATTGTAATTAAACATAAGGATACTTAAATCTGTTTTACTTTAGATTCCCATATCACAGATGCAACAATATCAGTAATAGCTGGAAGAATGAAACTTTTTCAGCTGCCTGAAGAATCTTTATCAATTCTGAATGCAAGAAACAAGACATGATTTTGAAAGGATAGTCATATATTTATCTAAATTTATACTTTTTTTTTCATTTCATCTCTTTTTTGAATTAAAAATAAGATTTGTTAGGTAAATCTGAATAATTTATTTCCACAGCCAACATTATAAGATTATATTACTCATTAACTTGTGGGTAACATTATAAGACATACATATACTGAAAAGTAAGAGACGAATAATGTACGGCATCATTTTAGGGAAAAGTATGTGTCTCTTGTATTGAAATAACACCGTTCTGATTCTTGTAATTTTTAGTCTAGAAACAGCAAGATTTGTTTTGTTCTAGTACATTCAGTTGCTAATATTAACACTAATATTCAGTAAACTTTTTAATGTTTTTTCACCTTTATTTAGGTATATAAAATTAAGAATCATATATACATATTAAAAAAGGCATATAGATATAAACAAGAGGTAAAAACCTCTCATACCAAAAGGGAAAGGCAACTATTTTCATTTATTTAGTATCCACAAGAAGATTTGGAAAAATCCTCAGCTCCCCATTCTGTTCTCTAACGACATCTAAGTACAAATTCCTCAAATAAAGCAGTCCTGTACATATTTTTTGTTTTTAGCTTCCTTTGCTTTTTTTGAATTTCCCTTATGAAGAATTAGCATTTGTAAACTGCTCTGGATAAGGATCAGTCTTGTACTCTGTGAAGTGCAATGCCCATCGATGAGCATTACACAGAACTAATTCTTCCTTCAAAATCTCAGAGCAGTTTACCATATTCCCAAGAGTCTGTTTCAGGCACTTTTCATGTTCACAACTGTTCAGCTTCAAGAACGATACAATATGGATAGCTCTTGGATCATCTCCTGGTTAATAGTTTTTAAACCTCAGTTTCTGTACTATTTTTTTGCCATGGTGGATTGTGGGGTTGTTGGCTTTTTCCACTTAAATGGTTCAAATGCATTTTTCTTGATAAAGAGCTTTTTATGCTGGTGGTTTAGTACTGAATATTTTGGAAAACCATTTATTTCCCATTCCAAATAGGATTAATGGGCTTGCTTTTTAGTGAAATGTAACACTTAAGTTTCTATAGACTTAGTGAACACTTTAAACTAATGTGAATAATATGTATACTGTAATCCATGGTGTAATTTGAATAAAACATAATTGCCTTGTTATATTTTTTTTAAATAGTGAGACACTGCCTTATTCCCATTGCCTCAAAGAAGTAGTTTTGTTCAGTGTTTCAGCCACTTCTTCATTTCTACCTCTCAAGTATTTCACATACTGTTTTCCTGTATCATTTAAGCATATTTGACTAAATGATGAGATGTTTTAAGTCTTGTTACCCTATGCTTATTTTCTGTGTTCTCTTTTTTTAACCTGTATTTCGTATATTTAAGACCAGACCAGTGCACTTTTCAGCAACACACTTTTGACTGTGTGTTTTTAACTGTATGTTCCTAACAAACGGAGTACGTGGGTTATTGCATCCAGCAGATGATGATGATGATGATGATGATGATGATGATGATGATTATCTCTTTTATTCATTAAACATGGAACTCAATCAACTGAACATTTAAAAATGTATCACAAATTATTATTATTATTATTATTATTATCATCATCATCATCATCATCATCATCATCATCATCATCATTAATAATAATAACAAGTCTTCTACCGGATTGTATTTGTTCATCCGTATATTTTTCCCATATTATTTAAAGCATGTCCCTCAGATTTTATACAAAAATTTTTTTTCCTTATAAAGAAATGTTAGAAAATAATCTTTAGGTAAGGCGATTTTCTTCAATCATGCAAGAAAACCGCAGAATTTTATTCTGATTTTGTCTCATTATTTCAAGCATCCTTCATAAATGTAACTTTCATAAGAATGAAAAGGGCTGTGTATTTTCAATTTTCTCCCATTCTTAAATACTACCACCATCACCAACAACCAAAATCCCTTCATAAGCAAGCAGGTTTTCCTTTAACACACACACACACACACACACACACACACACACACACACACGTTTCTGAAAGTTTCTGCTTGGGTGACTACGACTTTGTAGAAACTGAAAAGAGGTAGGCTGGGGAGGAGGAATGTTCCAGATTGTATAAGAAATGAACCTTTGCATAATCACTTTTTGCTTGTGAATAAGATACTGTAAGTGCTTGTCTCCAGGCAATCATAGCGCCTTCTCTTTAGTGGTCAAGAGAGTACCAGGTTTTTACACTTCCATATTATTATGATTATGGTTCCTTGGGAACAGACCTGAACTTGTAAGAGCTATGAAGCAGATTGGTGGGGCTTTGGGCAAAGTGCGGAGGGGGGAATGTTCCCAAGCAGATGCCTTTAAAAGACAGAAATCATGAATTTCTTGAATTGCAGCCACTCTAGGGGTGGCTACAATGTCTTTTTGACAGTGACAGTAATTCTGCCTTGTCCTTTCGAGCCGCTCTTCGGCCCATTCATTCCAGAAAGCTGCTTAAGCGCACTTAAGCGCATTAGCATTTGGATGCTTGGGGACCATATTGACCCTCATTTGGAAGGTTTAAATGAGTGAAAGATGGAGCGATTTGTTAGAGCTTTAGAAAACCAGCTTTAGAGAGCGATGGGTTTTCCGCTTTGGTTTGTTTGGTTGCTTGTTCTAATCTGGTGCACTGTTTAAAGGCGACCAGACTGATTTGTGACACATGAGTCCAAAAGGCTATTTTGGGGGGCTTGACCTGATTAGCTAATTTGTGCTTTGAATTTCAATGGTTGGTATCTGAAGGAGAGGCACTTTGGGAATGGCTTGTTGGTGGATGACCTCACAGTTAACGGCATACAGACACAGATGGCAAAATGTTAATTACTTGTCAAAAGAGACAGAACGGGACCCAAATCAAATTGTGAAGATGAGTGGAAAAAGTGATTAGTTGTGGGCTAAATGAAAGAAAGTAAAAACAAAAAACAAAAACAGTGGTTGCTCCCAAAGTCTTAGTGTGCTACCTTTTCTCTTGCTTCTCTGCTGGACAAGGAATACTTGCACTTAAAACAAGTTCCGGTTCTCTCAGTAGCTATTGTTACAGTGTTATGGTTTCTAACAATAATTCTGCATGGTCAGAATTTAGAATAATTCTGAAAGGAGTTTTGAAAGAAAGAAGACTTTTAGCCAGATTGTCATGTTGATGGTTCGTAAAGCAAAATAAAAATAATAACAGAAATGAAATATCTTTCTTTGTTTCTGATTCTCCGTGTATTATCAAAGTGAGGAACTCCATTGCTCTGGCACACTTCTAGTCATATAATTAGAAATAAGTTTTTAAGGATATCATCTAGGCCAAAAAGAAAGATTCAAAATTAGATGGATTATACATAGAAAATCCCAGAGACAAATTTTAGTTAACTCCAGGAATACATGAATGGGAAATTAGAGAACCATACCCAGGCAGAAGAAGAAGCATTGAGCTAAATAGTTTGAGTAACCAAGCAGTTTCTCTTAGCATTATTAGGATAAAAGAGTAAAATGAGCAATTTCCTCCTCATCAGAACAAAGTTTATTAAGCATTATCTCAAAGTGTTTCTTAAAGTCAGATTAACAAATACTTAGCATCTCTACTGTCCAAATCCAAGAAGAATACAATAAACCTCAAAACAATATATAATTTTAAAAGGTCTACATTTCTAGGCATTAGGAGTTTTTGCATGGAGCTACAAATTGAAAAGCTATGCCAATAGGGTCTTGCTATTGAATTAACATGGCATAATATTCTGCTTCTCACTTGAGGATTTTGCTCATAGTACAAAAAGAGATAGCAGACTTCTTCCTTGTGGATCTGTTTCCCTTTTTGGAAACAAAAACCATTGGAAAATACAAAATACAAAAATAGTCCTCATACAAACTTTACAACATTTTAATATAATTTTTAAGAAAAAATAATAGAAGTAAATGAATTCAATTATGGAGCTTAACAATTTTATACCGTAGTATCCGTAACAAATTCTTAAATTTTCAAACTGCTTTCCAATTTTGAGGAAGAACGAAGTAGACTAAAGAATGGTATTCTTCATATTAATAATTGAGGAGAAATTAAAAGTCTAAGCTTGTATATTTATGTTTTAACTTTTTTGAACAGTTTTTAACCTTTTAAGAATCTTTGTAATATATCTTTAACAAACTTATTTATTTCTCCCCTATGCCATTTGCTTTTTTTTAAACAGACACTTTGTGCAAAGGCTACAATGCAGACTATCCGGGCTGCTGACACTAATGAAGTAGTCAAACTAATATTCCGTGAATCTGATAATGACCGAAAGGTATGTAACCAAATGTAATTCTTGTCACTGAAGAGAATGCAAACACAACTAAGCAATCCACCCCTCTTTTTCAAAATGCCAAGAACAAAATCTTTCTTTGCTTCAGCGGAGGTGACTTATTCCAAAATATTAACTTACTGAAATGTGCATTCAGTTGTGATCCCAATGAGTTACGTGAGATCTGCACTTGTACTGAGATTATAATTGCACTTACCCCTTACTGAGTCTATCATGGTAAATCTTCAAGAAGTCTGCACTGTTTCCTGCAGCTGTTCCTCTGGGTAGGTAGAAGGATATGTGCCAATGAGAAAAGCAAAGTTTTCATAGGTGTTGGAGAGGAAAGCAAAGGTGTGCCTTAAGCTACCTAAAACCAAGGGCAAACAAAGAAGAAAACTTTGTGTGCCAATTCTCAGTGACAGAGCACAATTCAATAATTTCTTTCTATATATTACAGGAAATATGCTGCAAGCAAAATTATATACTTTTAAAAAGGAAAGAGAGTTTTCTCACTTGGAAAACAACATAATTTCTCAAACTAGATATCATTCAGAGAAAATCTGTCACTCATTCAAGCTATATGCAATGTTCCCATTTCATTGCTGTGCAATTAAAATAACATGCATATTAATCGCCTATAACACTGCTCCCACAGCAGCTTTCTTTCTAATCTAGTAAATGTGATTTCTTAAAAAATAATGTCACTTTAAAAAAAAAAGTTTCACTTATAAGTCCTAGGTCTTTCTGAACTGATCAAATCTTCTTTGACTGTACTGTTGTAATTCCTGATGAAGATTTTTCACATATTTGACTGCATAAATAAATTTTATTTTACATAAAATTTTGTCCATGTAGAGATTCTGATTTGGGGAGATAGGTTTCATCACAGCTTAGATCAGGGGTGTCAAACTCAAGGCCCATGGGCTAGATCCAGCCCATAGGGTGCTTAGATCATGCGGGGTCACCCTGGAAACAGCGAGGGACCAGCCTGTGGTGCCTCTGCCAGTGAAAACGGAGCCCATTTTCACTGGCAGAGGGCTAGCAAAAAAAACTGAAAACAAACCAAAAGGAGAAATGTTTCCCCTTTTGCATTTGAGCATCCAAGGAGGGACAGGAAAGGAGAAAGGGAAAGAGAAAAAACAAAGAAAAAGATGGAAAGATGGGAAAAGAGCAAGGAAGGAAAAAGAAGAAAGGAGAAGGAAGAGGGAAGAAAAAAAAGGGAAGAAAGGAAGGAGGGAGGGAGGCAGATTATAATGAGAGGGAGGGAGGGTCTGCAGGAAGTCCTGCCTTAGCACTTGGCCACCACAGGTGCCCCCACAACACGAGTGACGTTGAGCTGGCCATGCCCATCCCCGCCATGCCCCCGCAGCCCCCCTGAGGTCAAACAAAATACGGCCCTCAATGAAATTGAGGACCCTGATGCCGCCCTCAATGAATTTGAGTTTGACCACCCCTGGCTTAGATCAATGCCTAAGACTTGCATGTTTCATAAAAGATGTGCAGTAGGAATGAAATTGACCTGTACCTGTCCAAGGACCACTTTTCAAATCAGTTTTCTTAATTCGTGTTTAAAAATATTTGCAATCCTCTTATAGGGAAGCCCTATAAATGTCAGTAAGAAAGTGATGAACATAGTGAAACAGAACCGTTTCTGTTGACAAAGGAATAAAACAAGGCTGTATACTCGTCCCTTATTTATTCAACTCATATGCTGAATATATATTAAAGGAAGCTGGATTGGAAGAAGATGAATGTGGTTTTAAAACTGGAAGAAGAAATATCAATAGCCAAAAACCAACCTTAGAACTGACACAATGAAAACATGAAAGACATAGATAGCTTCTGCCATCATCAATAGTAAAGGAACAAGTAGTCAAGAAATAAGCCATAGGTTAGCACTTGATACAGCAACTACGAAGGCACTGGAAAAGATATTTAGATATTATAATGTGTCTATACCTTCAAATAAGTATAATGCAAGCTATGGTATTCCCTATGAAACTATGGAAGCAAATGTTGGACTTTGAAAAAGCAGAATAAGAAGAATATTTATGCTTTTGAATGTTGATATTGAAGAAGTCTCTTAAAATTTGGTTGATGGATAACAACAAAAACAACAAAAAAGAAGATATTGTATCTAAAGAAGCGACTTCTGCTCTTCTTTGCAGCAGTTACAAACTTAGAAATTACTATCTCCACCCTCCCATATTGCCTGTCCTGGTTCCATTCTTCTCATAGATAAATCTTTTTAATCAATAAATGCTAAAATAAACAGTTCATTTTTATCTATTTTCAGCAAAAAGTCCATAAAGGCTTTCCAGTCTTCTAGAAAAGTAGCTGGAGAAAACTCTTGAGAATTCAGTGAACAGCCAAGAAAACAGCTAATGGATCACTGAACAAATGAACCCAGATTTATCACTTGAAACACAACGATCAAGCTCAAATTATAGTCTTCCAGACACATTAGGTGAAGACCTAGCTCTCTGGAGAAGAGCTGGGAAATGTGGAAGGAAATTGAAGAAAAGGATGACCTGCAGCAAGATAGATAGACTTAGTTATAGTGGAAATGAGTATGCTGCTGGAAGATCTAAAAGACCAGTTAGAAACAGATCATCATGGAGAAAATCTATCTCTGTGGTCACTAAGAGTTGACACTAACTTGATGGGACCTAATCAGTCAATCAACCGGTTAATTCTTAGAATAATCTTGGTATTCTATACATCAATGTTTCTCCTATTTATAGGAAATAGGATGGGAATAATAACCTCAAATATTTTAAAGCAATATATGCAGCCTTTTTAAGATTCTGTGCATTTCTTTTTCTTTAAGTCAGAAAAGGGTTAATTTAATGGAGAAGGTAATAAAAGTTTAAAAATGAAATTGCAAAGGTTTACATAACGATTATATAGAATTTCATTGGAGATTGTTGTTATGTTTTAGTTTTTAAGCTTTGCTTCATTTTTTTTCTCTAGGTTATGCTACAGTTAGAAAAGAAACTCTTTGACTATTTTAATCAAGATGTTTTTAGAGATAACAATGGCACTGCGGTGAGTTTCCAGTTACATTTTGTAGATATAACCCTTGCTCTTAAGATACCTGGTGCTCCAAGAAATGCAATAGAAAAATGTTCATATCCTGTTTATCCTTCACATGATAATCTTTTATTTAATGAGGACATCTTTTATTAGTGTACTTAAATTTTTACATGTCTATGCTTCTCTTTATGAAAAATGACATCAAGGCAGTGCACCCTGCAATATATTAAAATGCAAACCGCAATATGTTAAAAGGCGAACTAAAGTATTTTAAATAATTGGATTATAAAACTGTGTTTACAATTTTTTTCCACAGTCTCACTGTTCAACTGTCTTAAGTTCTAAAGTTCTTGATTTCAGGGACAAAAGTGCATATAATGCATAGGTAGTATAATAACAGTATGAATTGTAGATGATTCAGGATTTTTGGGCCTAGGCAAAAAGTGCAAAATACATAAGCATTTTGTCATACTTGAAACATTTTTAACTTTAAAACTGTATATGTTCCTTAAAATATGATCTTTCCTTTCCCAGGTCACTTTTGAGTAGTTTAAAAGCACAGCTGCTTAATTCTTTTTTTTTTTCCTGAGACTTAGCTATTTAAGTAATATTTAAGACTTAAATATTTCTGGTTTTAATGTCAGAACTGTCTTGAATTTCCCTGATGGAGGGTCCCTGTTGTTTTTACCAGACTTATTTTTACTAAAATTGAATCCACAGACTTCTTCCAACATCTCAATTGATACCACTAGGTTCTTTGGTTCACTTGGCTTTGAAATAAAAATAACTTGGTTCTCTTAAATTAAAAAAAATAATTAGTAGCTTGCAAACTGGTAAGTAGGAAGCAAAATTCCAGCCTCCAGCATAATTTGCACTTCCCACTTAGTTTCCAAAATGTTCTTTTAAAAAATATTGGCTACATCCAACCACTGAAAATGAGTCCTTTTGCCAGAAAAAGTAAAGCTGGAGCTAGTAAGCTGGAGACAGTAAAGAGCATCCTGGAGAGTTATAGAATGTGATAAGAAGCAACCTTTCTACTTTGATTTCTGATAGACTGGCATTTTGGACTCATCCATTATTTTGCAATTGTGCCCACATTGTGCTCTAAAAATTTAAAATGTACACACTTACAACAGTTCATTTAGTGACCGTTCAAAAGTTATAGCGGCACTGAAAAAATGAGTTATGATTATTTATCACACTTATGACCACTACAGCATCCCCATAGTCACATACTCAAAATTCAAATGCTTGTCAACTGGTTCATATTTATGACGGTTGCACAGTCCTGGGGTCACGTGATCAGCTTTTGTGACCTTCTGACAAGCAAAGTCAATGGGGGAAGCCAGATTCACTTAACAGCTGTATTACTAACTTAACAATTGTAATGATTCACTTAACAGTGGCAAGCAAAGTCATAAAATGGGGCAAAATTCACTTAACAAATGTTTCACTTAGCAACAGAAATTTTGGGCTCAATTGACGTCGTAAATCAAGGATTGTCTGTACTGAAGGCCAGTGATCTTGGGTCAAAGCTCTGAAGGGCATTCAGAAAAGGCTGAAGTTGTTTATCATGCATTTTTTATACTGTATATTCTACTAAATTGTGTAGCTAAACTGAGACTGAAGGATATGAAGGATATGTTAGTCCATCATGTGGTATTGTTTATGGAAACAGAGGATTGTTTTTGTGATTCTATTTGTATATACTGATTCAGCCACTACAAAGCTTTATTAAGAAAACTGATGTGAATGTTATTCTTAATACTCTAGTTATATTTCTGCAGAGCTACTTATAGGAAGTGTTTGACTGTTTTAGCAATGCACAGTCAGAAATACTCTTTCTATTTAGAGGGAGCAAATTACACTGGTTACCAATATATTTATAGATGAACTCACAGTGCTGATTATTAATTTTAAAGCCATAAATTGTAACTAAAATGAATACATAGTTCACAGTTGCATTCTTTTCTGCTTGATCTTTTGCCTCACATTTAACATTCTAATACAATTTGAAATTGTATTAGACCAGAACATAATAATAGAGTTGGAAAGGACTTGGAGGTCTTCTAGTTCAACCTCTGCTCAAGGAGGAAATTCTATACTATTTCAGACAAATGGTTGTCCAGTCTGTTCTTAAAAACCAGAGTGGGAGCACCCACAACTTTTGGAGGCAAGTCATTCCACTGATTAATTGTTCTAACTATCAGGAAATCTCTCCTTTGTTCTAGGTTGCTTCTCTCCGTGATTAGTTTCCATCCATTGCTTCTTGTCCTGCTTTCAGGTACCTTGGAGAATAGGTTGATCCCCTGTTCTTTGTGGTTGTTCTGTCCCCGTCTCATACACGCACACAAACAGACAGCCGGGGGTTAAATAAACTGGCAGACAATAAATTCTTTCGATAAGAGGATTGGCAGCAACCCAGTAGCTGCTTGCCAAGAACTTTACTCATAAACAAGATACACACAGTTCAAGAATTGTCAAGTCCAGTCCGTAATTAAATCCAAGGCAGATAATATTGTTTCCAAAGATGCAATGTGACTCGATAGTAGTTAGTTTTGTCCGTCACAGAGTCTGAATGGCCACCTCACCCCCTTATATCCCCTGTGGGGTGTGGTCCAGTGACTCAGCTTAATCTCTGGCACGCCTCCTTTTCTGTTGCGTGCGCTTGTCTCTCCGACGCTGGCATGGATCCAGCCAAGACTTATCTCCTTCACTGTCCGACTGTGAGGAGATACCTGGCTCCTGGCCAATCTCTTCTCCTACGGGAGACACCTGAGGCATTGCCAGATAGGAGGGTCCTGGAGAGGGAGGCCTGGCCAACTCCTCTCCTTCATCTTCGGAGCCTTCTCCCTCCGATAAATCGGCCTTGGGGGTCGGAGCCACAACAGTGGTAGTTGCTTAAATATTGGAACACTGCTGTCAGATCACCCCTAGTATATAGTATTATATTGTGTGAAAGAAGATTGTGGGTATTATGTATAATTTTATGGAAAGTTGAACAGTTGAACAAACTTCTAGGTGCAGTTTTGATCCTTGTAGGATCAACTATTAACTTAGTAACTATTTTGATAGAATATAATTTTAACAACAATATGGTATTTTCCACCAAAATCACACAGCTTGTTAACTTATTCACAGAATGTTTAAATTAAGTAAGTGTAAGTAGAATCATATGCATCTCCTTATGAAAAAATATTATTAGAAACTACAGGAAGAGAACAGTTATAGTTTGATACAGATTTCCACATTTACAATTTATTTTGAAGGGTGAGGGTCATTTAACTTCAGATGTTAAACATCAGCAGTTCAACCTCCATAGTATTAATGTTTAGAGCAGCACTTACAACTATTAAAGATTACAGTTTGAACTTGATTTTTTAAAAGTTACAGGTACTTTAAAAATCATCTTAATTTTAATGAGTCAGTTCCTTGAAACATCTGCAACTTTAAAAAAACCTTACTCTTTAATAAAAAGTGAGTGAATGAAGTTTGAAGCCCTTTTTCCAAATAATTCTATGAAAAATGTCCATACACAGAATGTTTCTTAGAATTTAATATATTGCTAGGTCTGTCTGTATATTACATTTATATCAACCTATGCTGAAAGGCCACATGTTACTATAGCAGCATAGAGTTCTCTTTGTCATCTCTAATGTCTTTATAAAGGATATAATAATCATCTCATAGTGTGTCTATGTAGCTTTTACTACGTGTCATAGTAAAGGATGTACCAAATCTTTCTTTTTTCTAACATTGATTGTCTGGGGACTACTTTATCCATTTAGTGTGTAAAATCATTGTTGGTTACATTTAGGAGCTCCATACAGAGCTTAATTGGTCCCCAAGTTCAACTTGCATTTTAGCAAAAAGAACTTCCTTCCACCATTCAGTAATTATGGAATTTCTTCAGACCTCAATAATCAGAGGAAAACTTTTTAAATCAGAGGGTGCTTTCTAGACTGACATAAGTCTTGTCATCTGTTTTTCCCCCCAAAAATGAATGCAAGCTACATACATATGCTGCTCTTCATCTCTGCCAGGAAACTGTTTCTTGAGGTTTTACTGGAATTTTTGAAGTAGAAGTAACATGGTGCTTTGCTACTATTTTACTTAGCAGAAGGGCAGCTTTTTTCCCCTCATGATGAAAAGGAACTACAGCAAGGAAGAAAGAAAGATAGGGGCAAGTTACTGGCTGTATTGTTTTGTCATCAGATGGAAAGAGTGCTGGACAGTTTGTACAGAAAGTCTGTGCATGATGAAAACAAAAACAGTTTACAAGATGGCAAGAAGGATGTTTCTGAGGGATGAAGTGATTAAACATGTAGCTGGTGTACTGTACCCTTAATGAATAATTTGGTACCTTGACTAACAACCATGCCCACTTCATGACTTGTGGCAACATTACAGGGCATTATATGACAACTTACATAATGGTTTTTTTTTTATAAGTATTATAGCAGTTTGGCTTTAGAGATGTCCGATTCATTTGACATAATGAATCAACCATTTAGACAACACAGGCAATAGAGAGCCAGAGTATTATTGTCACAAATCTGCTGACATTCCTATTGATGGGGAGGACATATATAAAAATATAGTTCTTATTCATTGTGAACTAGAATTGTGAAGAATTTAGAGTTCATACCTCTAGAGTTTGTAGTGTCTCCTAAATAGAATAAAAAGTAGTTGATGTTGGCCTATTGCTCATGTAGATAATTCCAGCTGCATGAAGTAAATGGAGAATTCATGAGCATTATGTAGAACTAATATCCTAACCCAGTAGAATTATGACCATCCATAAATAAATATGAAAGTCAACATTTTCTTTTTGATATAGCATACACATTTTATTTTTAAAACAGTTTGAGTTATAGTTGTGCAATATTTCAATTTCTTCTTTTTTTAATGTTAAAAGATTATCATTTCTGCCTGTAGCAATTCTTGGCATGCCAGTAGCATTTTAAGCATTAAGTTAATTTTCCATGTATACTTCTTCACATGTTTTCTTG